AAACTCCGGGCCCGTCGCGTTAGCACTGACCAGCTCCCACTAGCCCAGTACCCAAAAAGATTCACCAATAGGTATTTTTCTACCCATGGGAAGGGTTTAGCACGGCACCTCTGTGACCACAATGCAAGTTTTTACAGACAAATCTCAGAAAAGGTGGAGAATTCGTCTGTAAAAACTTGCTTTGTGGTCCAGTGGTCCTATGCTAACCCTTCCTATGGCGTGGGAAATATCCCTAGTTGGCAAATCTTATTGTGGCTGCTGGTCCATGGAAACGCGTCGGTCTGGAGTTTTGAGACTTGACCGCGAGTTAAACCCCGCCCGGGGTTTGGGTTTGTTTGAAATCGTGTCATTACGATTTCGGGTCTGGATACTAAATTAGGGGGTCACCCTGCCCGGGTGGGATACAGCCAGTTCATTAAAAAAAATTTACATACCCGGAAATGCACCTTTTGAGTGAGCCCAATCGGGGGAAAGGAGAAAATGACATTCTGAAAAGGGTGAGAAGGTTAATGGGCAAAAAAAAAAAAAAAAAGGTTTTGGGAACCACTCTCTCGAGTCTACAAATTAAACTTTTAATGGAGCTGTTGCACCTGGAGTACATATGTTTTTTTTTTTTTTTTAAAAATCCAGTAAACAGTGCTTTCAGAATTAAATACCATGTACCTGAAGACCTTTTCGGTGCTGTTCAGTATTCAATCACTTTTTCGGGTTGCTTTACAAAAAATAAATTAAAGAAAATGCAGTTTTATAAAGCCCCTATATGTTGCATTTTTTGTAATCCATTTAAAAAAAAGTACATCAAAATTAAATGTACTTTGAGGGGCCCTTTCATTTTTTCAGTTGCTTTACAAAAAAAATCCCCAGTAATGAAATTTTTTTTTTTTTTTTGCATTACAAAAAATTCCCTTTGTAGAGGAGTTTATAAGAGCGGGACTTTTTATAGAAGAGCTTTATAAGAGCTGACTATATATAGAAGAGTTTTTGAGAGTGACTGTATATAAAGAAGCTTTATAAAAAAACTAACTCTAATGAGAAGTTTTATAAGAGTGACTGTTATAGAGAAGCTTTATAAAAGCTGATGTGTGTAGAGAGTTTTGTAAGAGTGATTTATATCCCTGGCCCAAAAAAAAAAATTTGGAGGATTTCGGGGGCAACGCCCCGCGGCCCTGTCTGTGACCGGGCCCCCCTGGGGATCGCGCTGATCAACAGGCGTTGCTGTGGCTGCACGCAAACCAACGTACGGGCCACGCCCGGCGATCGGGAAAGACTTTAGGTCTTGTCCATGCAGCTTAAAAGACTCCCAGGGGTCTGTTGGTAATCCCCCTTATGTGTGCGGGGGAGGCAGTTAAAACAGTCTCGGGCCCCTGACACTTTTGTATGGTCTCTTAACGTGTGTGACACCCCTGCTTTTCAGGGGGGGATGGGCATCTTTCTCCCAAAGTCTTTTGCTTTCGTTGGAGTGTTTTTGTGTGCAAGTTCGGTACTAGTCCCTTAGGATTTTCCAGGTGTATATAATCATGTATCTCTCCCCTGCGTTCCCGGGGGAATACGGTTTGAAACCCAAGCGCTCCCAGTAATTGAGGTGTTTTATCTCCGTTATGCGCGCCGTGAAAGTTCTCTTACATTTTCTGGTCGGCAATTTCACCTCCCTTAAAAGGTTTGTTTAGGTGCAGCAATTTTCACCCTAGATAGAAACAAGTGCCCTGAAGGTGTATCGGGTTGGGGCCTCCTATTTTTAAAGGTTTTTCATTATCCTCCTGTCTTTTTTTCTAGAGATGCGATTGATAAATGTTATGGCCCTTAAAGGTGAGACCTCGCAAAAATCACCCCCAGGTTTTTGACGTTGGGTGTTTCGCTTATTTTGGGGCCAGATTGTTTTGTACTTGTGAAATTTTAAATTTCCTCATGTTTACCATTTGAGAAAATTGAAATTTCTCATCGTTGAATTCTATTGTTTTCTGCACCCCACTAAAAAGATTTGGTTGATGTCCGCCTGGGGGCCTTGCGTGTCTGCAATGGAAGACATGTCTGCAGATTGGGTGTCTCTGCAAGGAAGACACGGTGCTGTGGGCATCCCTTTTCTTGTCGGATATGAGGATGAGGAACAAAATGGGAGTAGTACGTGCCCTTTTGGAACAGAGCTTTTTACCCTACTTTCCTGGACTTTACCCGTTTAGACTATCTCTGTGTTTTGTTAGTGAGGAAAATTTTAGATCCATCGACCGCTTTTCCCGTTATTCCTTTAGGCGCATTTTGTGCGCTATTCGCCATGGTCACACTTGTCAAAGGCTTTTGCAAAATCTGTATTTTACATCTGCATTCTTTTGTTTCTAGTGATTTAGGCCTTTCGTAGTGTCCAGTAGTTGAGACGCAGGAGGACCTGTTCTAAACCCCTGTTGCCCCGGGTTGTTAACTGATGGGGGTTTTAGATGGGTGGTTTATCTTTTCTTTTAGGACCCCCTTTCAAAATTTTTTTTGATTGGGGTGTTTGGCTTTGGTCTGTAGTTCTTTGCTTTGCTTTACTTTTCCCCCTTTGTGGAAATGGGGGGTTGGTTGTTTTTTGTAAGAGGGACGACCCCCTGTCCATGCTCCCTTCATAGGAGGGAAAAAGGTCGTGATAGGGGGGTTCTTGATTCTTTATGAACCGAGTTCCCGAGTCTGGCCCCGGGGCGGTGCATGGGATGTCATTTTATCGCCTTTTTCGAAGGATTTGGCGTCAGGATAACATCGGATAGGGTTTTTGTTTAAAAAATTTTGTGGCTCTCTCATAAAAAATTCTTTTTATCTTGACCTCAGTCTGGTTAGCGGCCCTTTCTAAAAATGAGTCATTGGGACTTGGTAGCTCATCATTTCCTTGCTGTCTCTGTGTAGGCCCCTCTTGTTTAAGTAGGGGGCCCCTTTCTGGAGTGTTTCTCGATTTTTATTTGGCATAGGAGAAAAAATCTTTGGGTTTCTTTGATTTCTTTATGGCTTTTGTTTCTTCCCCCGATTCCTGATCCTAAAGGATTTTTTAGCTTAAGTTCGATGCTTGCTATTTCTTTGACCAGGTCTCCCTGGCATTTCAGTTATTGACCTCTTTTAGCCGCTCTGTTTTTCTTTTCCGTCGCTGTAAAAAGGGAAACGCCTTTTCTCTTTCTATTTTTAAACTACCCCCCTTTTTTCTTAGAGGAATAAGCCTTGTGCATACATCGAGTTTCCCCCGAGTTTTTCTGTTTAGGATAAGTTTGGGGGGGCTGTGTTGCTTGTTTTTCTTCCCCGTTAATCGGTTAGGACTTGGTTTACTTGGTCCCACTTTTGTTTTTTTTTATTGAAATTGAATTTGGGGAATGCTCCCCCGTGACTAGTCTCATTTGTGGGCTGGGGCTCCCGATAAAGTCTGAACCTAATTTTGTTGGATCTGAGTATATTTTTTTTGATATGGTGACATTTCTTTCAGATCATTTATTGTTAGTGAAAATGGGTCAGTGTATTTTCCCGTTAGTAGGCTTATTATTTGCTGGTTTAAAATTTAATTTTGTGCAGAGATTTAAAAGCTCGTGTGAGGTAAATTTTCATCAGAGTGCCCCCTGGTGTTTTTACTGCAACAAATTATTTGCTATATTCCTCCTTTAGGTGCCTTAAGTTTGAAGTCCCCCGGGCAAGTGTTGGGTGCAGGACTGGAAGATTTTCCGACAGTGGTCAATTTTTAAAAGCTGTTCCTGGAATTTTTGGGGTGTTGCATCCGGGGCTTTTAGACTACCACAAAGACTAGGGGTTTTTGGGTTTTGACCTTTATGCAAAACTTCCACTACTCATTTGAGGCATTAAAAGTTCTGTGCAAAAAAAGGCTTTATAGATCTGACTGTATAAAAAGGCTTTTTAAGAGCTGCTATATAAAAAAGCTTTATAAGAGTGACTGTATATAAAAAAGGGTTTATAAGAGCTGACTGGTAGTGGGGGCTCATCAGAAAATAGATTGCGGGGCTGCGTGATGCAAGCCTTATAGAACAAATTTAAAACCTTTATTAAAGCAATAATTTTTTAAATTATACTAAATTTAAAAATGATAAGCATTACATATACTACCATAGAGGTCATACAGTCCTGCTGGTGGACAATAATTTCTGTCTTTTTTCCTCTTCATTGTGTTTCACTATCTAAATATTGTGTGCTGAATCAGTTTGGGCTGCAATATTCACTTTGCGCAGCATTGATAAATCAGTAATGTTATTTATATGCTTGGTTGACCCCTCGTGTTTCATTACTTTTTTTGGTAAATGTTTCAAATCAGTACGCCCTTTTTGTCCGTGAAAGTCTCCACCAAAAAAATAAAAAAGGAAAAAAATAAAAAAAAAAATTTTTTTTTCATCACAGCCCCAAAGTCATTCATTTTCTGGTAAACATGATGCTAAAATGGGCGTACTTCTTTGTCCCACTTCTCTTTTTGTACAATGAATAAAGCTGTGATGTTATCCTTTTTTTTTTATCTTTATTTTTTCACTTAAAATCAACTCAAAAAAATTAATCTTTGTAAAAAATTTAACTGGTCTACTCTAGTATCCCCTGCCATATTTTTAAAAAGGTAAATTTAAAATTTTAAAATATTTAAAAGAACTTAAACAGCCACCAACACCAATACCAGCCATGCGTTACAACGTGTATACTCACAATGTAAACAGACCAATTGCAACTGGGTGTGTGCTGCATCAAATGCAGCTCCTCGCTGCCAGATGTAATGCCAGTAATACCTATGCTATTGTACTGCATAAAACTTCTATTTTTAATCATTTTTTTTTATCTCGTTTCAACGAAAAGTTAAAAATTGAAAACAATATACAACAGATTTTTCCCGTAATATATTTGTGAGTTGCAAATTATTTTAGCGTAAGATTGATGAAGTTATACATCTGGCAGTGAGCATCTGGGGAGGACTGCAGCTCTGTAGCTCCTATGGATGAGCTGCCACTGGTACCTGGCATCTTTGTACAGCTATATGCTAAGTGATTATTTTTCTTTGGCAGGGCTGTGATTATGTGATAGCACTAACACACATGCGAACACCCAATGACATCAGACTAGCGGAGAATGTGGAGGAGATTGATCTTATCCTGGGTGGCCACGACCATGTGTATGAGGTGCTTAAGGTAAGAATATTGGATCTTTATGTCTACTACCCTCTCCCTCTTATGTCTATTACCCCTCCCTCTTATGTCTACTACCCTCTCCCTCTTATGTCTATTACCCCTCCCTCTTATGTCTATTACCCTCTCCCTCTTATGTCTACTACCCTCTCCCTCTTATGTCTACTACCCTCTCCCTCTTATGTCTACTACCCTCTCCCTCTTATGTCTACTACCCTCTCCCTCTTATGTCTATACCCTCTCCCTCTTATGTCTACAAACCCCTCCCTCTTATGTCTACTACCCTCTCCCTCTTATGTCTACTACCCTCCCTCTTATGTCTACTACCCTCCCTCTTATGTCTATTACCCCTCCCTCTTATGTCTATTACCTCTCCTCTTATGTCTACTACCCTCTCCCTTTTATGTCTACTACCCTCTCCCTCTTATGTCTACTACCCCTCCTCTTATGTCTACTACCCTCTCCCTCTTATGTCTACTACCCTCTCCCTCTTATGTCTACTACCCTCTCCCTCTTATGTCTACTACCCCTCCCTCTTATGTCTACTACCCTCTCCCTCTTATGTCTACTACCCTCTCCCTCTTATGTCTACTACCCTCTCCCTCTTATGTCTACTACCCTCTCCCTTTCTTATGTCTACTACCCTCTCCCTCTTATGTCTATTACCCCTCCCTCTTATGTCTACTACCCTCTCCCTCTTATGTTCTACCTCTCCTCTTATGTCTACTACCCTCTCCCTCTTATGTCTACTACCCTCTCCCTCTTATGTCTACTACCCTCTCCCTCTTATGTCTACTACCCTCTCCCTCTTATGTCTACTACCCTCCCCTCTTATGTCTACTACCCTCTTCCCTCTTATGTCTACTACCCTCTCCCTCTTATGTCTATTACCCCCCCCTCTTATGTCTACTACTCTCTCCCTCTTATGTCTACTACCCTCTCCCTCTTATGTCTATACCCTCTCCCTCTTTAGTCTACTACCCTCTCCTCTTTATGTCTACTACCTCTCCCTTTATGTCTATTACCCCTCCCTCTTATGTCTACTACCCTCTCCCTCTTATGTCTACTACCCTCTCCCTCTTATGTCTACTACCCTCTCCCTCTTATGTCTACTACCCTCTCCCTCTTATGTCTACTACCCTCTCCCTCTTATGTCTACTACCCCTCCCTCTTATGTCTACTACCCTCTCCCTCTTATGTCTACTACCCTCTCCCTCTTATGTCTATTACCCCTCCCTCTTATGTCTACTACCCTCTCCCTCTTATGTCTTACTACCCTCTCCCTCTTATGTCTACTACCCTCTCCCTCTTATGTCTACTACCCTCTCCCTCTTATGTCAAACTACCCTCCCCCTCTTATGTCTATTACCCCTCCCTCTTATGTCTACTACCCTCTCCCTCTTATGTCTACTACCCTCTCCTCTTTATGTTTACTACCCTCTCCCTCTTATGTCTACTACCCTCTCCCTCTTATGTCTACTACCCTCTCCCTCTTATGTCTACTACCTCTCCCTCTTATGTCTACTACCCTCTCCCTCTTATGTCTACTACCCTCTCCCTCTTATGTCTACTACCCTCCCTCTTATGTCTACTACCCTCTCCCTCTTATGTCTACTACCCTCTCCTCTTATGTCTATTACCCCTCCCTCTTATGTCTACTACCCTCTCCCTCTTATGTCTACTACCCTCTCCCTCTTATGTCTACTACCCTCTCCCTTTATGTCTACTACCCTCTCCCTCTTATGTCTACTACCCTCTCCCTCTTATGTCTATTACCCTCCCTCTTATGTCTACTACCCTCTCCCTCTTATGTCTACTACCCTCTCCTTTATGTCTACTACCCTCTCCCTCTTATGTCTACTACCCTCTCCTCTTATGTCTACTACCCTCTCCCTCTTATGTCTACTACCCTCTCCCTCTTATGTCTACTACCCTCCCCCTCTTATGTCTACTACCCTTCCCTCTTTTTGTCTACTACCCTCTCCCTCTTATGTCTACAAACCCCTCCCTCTTATGTCTACTACCCTCTCCCTCTTATGTCTACTACCCTCTCCCTCTTATGTCTATTTACCCTCTCCCTCTTATGTCTACACCCCTCCCTTTATGTCTACTACCTCTCCCTCTTATGTCTATACCCCTCCCTCTTATGTCTACTACCCTCTCCCTCTTATGTCTACTACCCTCTCCCTCTTATGTCTACTACCCCTCCCTCTTATGTCTACTACCCTCTCCCTCTTATGTCTACTACCTCTCCCTCTTATGTCTACTACCCCTCTCCCTCTTATGTCTACTACCCCTCCCTTTATGTCTACTACCCTCTCCCTCTTATGTCTACTACCCTCTCCCTCTTATGTCTATTACCCTCCCTCTTATGTCTACTACCCTCTCCCTCTTATGTCTACTACCCTCCCTCTTATGTCTACTACCCTCTCCCGCTTATGTCTACTACCCCTCCCTCTTATGTCTACTACCCTCTCCTCTTTATGTCTACTACCCTCTCCCTCTTATGTCTACTACCCCTCCTCTTATGTCTACTACCCTCTCCCTCTTATGTCTACTACCCTCTCCCTTTATGTCTACTACCCTCTCCCTCTTATGTCTACTACCCTCCCTCTTATGTCTACTACCCTCTCCCTCTTTTGTCTACTACCCTCTCCCTCTTATGTCTATTACCCCTCCTCTTATGTCTACTACCCTCTCCCTCTTATGTCTACTACCCTCTCCTCTTATGTCTACTACCCTCCCTCTTATGTCTACTACCCCTCCTCTTATGTCTACTACCTCTCCCTCTTATGTCTACTACCCTCTCCCTCTTATGTCTACTACCCTCTCCCTCTTATGTCTACTACCCCTCCCTCTTATGTCTACTACCCTCTCCCTCTTATGTCTACTACCCTCTCCCTCTTATGTCTACTACCCCTCCCTCTTATATCTACTACCCCTCCCTCTTATGTCTACTACCCCTCCTTATGTCTACTACCCCTCCCTCTTATGTCTACTACCCCTCCCTCTATGTATGCCTACTACCCTTGCCTTTATATATGTCTACTACCCCCTCCCTCTTATGTCTACTACCCCTCCCTCTATGTATGTCTACTACCCTTCCCTCTATATATGTCTACTACCCCTCCCTCTATGTATGTATACTACCCTTTCCTCTGTGTATGTCTACTACCCCTCCCTCTTATGTCTACTACCCTTCCCTCTATATATGTCTACTGCTCCTCCCTCTATGTATGTCTACTACCCCCTCCTTATGTCTACTACCCCTCCCTCTATGTATGTATACTACCCTTTCCTCAATGTATGTCTACTACCCCTCCCTCTTATGTTTACTACCCTTCCCTCTATGTATGTCTACTGCTCCTCCCTCTATGTATGTCTACTACCCCCTTCTTCTCCAAGATGCCAACCCATAACAGGTAAATTTGAACAGACAGGGTGAGGAGACTTGCCCATACATCTTGCCCAACCTGGAAATCGATCGTGGGTCCTACTAGTTGTAAGCTGAGCACTGTACTGTTGAGTTACAGTACTTCTTGTCTACATAAAAGTATTGACCTTTAAAATTATTATAATTATAACCTTAATTTTTAAAGGGGTGGACCTGTAAGCCAGTGGAAGGCCTCAGTTAAATGACCAAAAGCTCCAGCTGTGGGTCATCATATGACTAAGACCCGTGTCAGAAATCAGTTGTCCTGTTTCTTGATAAATCTTACCTAACCTAACCTAACCTAACAAACCTTGCCAAACCTAACTGCTTGTCTGTCACGCTTACATTGTGTTCTGTTCTCCACTGTATCCTCTCCACCAGCACCATGTTACACTTGCAATAAATGCTTACTGTCTATGGTATTTTCTACATTTTCTTTTATTTCCTAGTTTTTCACCCGTGTGGTTGCTGATGCAGTCCTCATATTGTAAGTTAGCTGTTTAGCTATATTTACACAATTTTAGATTATTACAATTATCTTACAAAATAGCCACTATGAAAAAAGAGTGAATTTCCAAGTGTTTTTGTGATTTATCAAGGAAGTACTACTGTAATTGGGGATTCATTATTTTTTGACAGTGGTTATTTTGCATAAAGTGATATCACCTGTTTACTGTGATCATACTGTATAGTAACAAATATGTAAATTGCCTAGGATAACAGAAAAAGTCAGTGATTTATTTCCATAAGGTTCCTTGTAATACTGTACCTGTTAGATACAGTACAGGTCAGCCATCACAAATTTGGCATTATTGGGACCTGTAGTGTGCTGGATTATTGAGTCTGCCAGATTACAGAGTGGTTAGGTTAGAATACACTTAATAAAGTTAACCAGCTTGACTTACACAAGAAAGCTCATTGAACATCGGCAAAAATCGAACATATCCACTACTTTGAGCTCAATTTCAAGGTACTTTTTGTCTTGAAACCAATCAAAATCATATCTATTTCTGTAATATATCTTCTGTTCCAGTAACAGTAATGTTGAAGGATCAGTTATGGAAGGAGAAAAGAAAATATGAATGTGTAAATTCAAGGATTATGTGGATTAAAGTAAAGGTTGGATGCGAAAAGTGGGTCATAATAAGCGTGTATGCACCTGGAGAAGAGAGGAATGTAGAGGAGAGAGAGAGAGATTTTGGGAGATGTTAAGTGAATGTAGGAAAATTTGAACCAAGTGAGAGAGTAATTGTGGTAGGGGACCTGAATGCTAAAGTAGGAGAAACTTTTAGAGGGGGTGGTAGGTAAGTTTGGGGTGCCAGGTGTAAATGATAATGGGAGCCCTTTGATTGAACTTTGTATAGAAAGGGGTTTAGTTATAGGTAATACATATTTTAAGAAAAAGAGGATAAATAAGTATACAAGATATGATGTAGGGCAAAATGACAGTAGTTTGTTGGATTATGTATTGGTAGATAAAAGACTGTTGAGTAGACTTCAGGATGTACGTGTTTAAAGAGGGGCCACAGATATGTCAGATCACTTTTTAGTTGTAGCTACACTGAGAGTA